TAATCTTGATGCAAAGATTTTGGTTGATGTAGGTTGTTGCAAGAATGGCACAAGTTACTAATGGATATTTTTGGTTGCTATTGAAAATTTAGTCGATTGCTGAATTTATGTATGGGCCCAAATTAGGGACACTTAGGCCGGCATTACCTGCATTTCCCCTATTATTTGTCAATCCTTTTCTTTCAATTCGTTCTTTGACTTGTTCAAGTGCCAACTCCTTTGCCAGCCAGTCTTAAAATTTCCGCTTTCGGCTCTTGTCATTCGGTAGGTAATGCAGATATGCAATTGTAAATAGGAAATACGCATTATTGGAGCACATATCCGTAAGGTTCATGAAAACAGCAAACGATCATCTGTTCGTTCGCCATTTGCAAGTGTATCTCGCGGTCGCTTTATCTAGTGTACCCACTCCTCCCTTCAATCTGTTGTACAACTGTACTATTTTCGGCTAGATTAAATTTTTCTTCAATTGATCCTAAATTAAAAAAAAAATACATCGCAAATACAGGCACAAGCTAAAATCATCATCTGTAGAACTGTGCTGCGAGCATGGCTTAAAATTCGAACATTTTTTGATCGGGAGGAAATTTAAGAAAATGTAAAATTTGAAGACTTGTCGTCACAACTAAGTGATTCCCATTTCATTTGTATGGCAATCACGGCCCTCATTATGAGTATCACTTCCTTTTCACTGTATATTGTCGCTTGAGTTGTAAACCGATATAACCCACTCGTGACAATCGATTTTATTCTAGTTCTGCATTAAAGCGCATTATTCAACGAATACAGTGCACTAGATACGACATTATGTTGAACGTACAAAACGAAATTGAAATCGATTGTCGCGAGTGGATTATTTCAGTTTCCAACTCTAGCATGGTGCTTCAAGAAATTTAGTATAAGTATTCGGATAATTGGTCATGTTTGTAGTCTAGTAAAACATTAATGGGCGTATTTCGGGGTGTAAGAAGAGTTTTTGAATAAATTGATTCATTCGAGTATGTGTTAAGGGTTTTCTTCAATTTTTTTTAAATAGTTCAAGAATAAGGATTTGGGTATGGTTTTAATTACATTTGTGTAACTTTAATTACATTAATTACAGAAAATTTATTTTTAATTACATTAATTACGTAATCAAATTGAAGTACGTGTTTCAATTACAGTAATTACACTGGCACTGCTTTGATTACGCGGAATTAAATTTAATTACATGAAATACTTAATTTTCATTTTTAATTACTTAATTACATAGTTGAACACCTTGTACTTTAAATCCAACGCAGTCAAAAAGGCTATTGCGTGCCCCTCGCTGTAAACAGAAACGATCCAGTGAAATCTAATTTTGTGGATCGCATCTTTTTAGCTTACGTTTATTTTTTTTTCGCGCATGCAGCGCTCGCGCAAAAAAAAAGCAGCTAAGCGAAAAGTTGACGTTTTGGGAGAGCGTTTCTGTCAGATTTTCACTTCACCGGAGGTGTAAACTGATCGATTTCATTTCACATGAACTGTAAACTGCGAAAAAAGGAAACTGGAAAATGTTCCACAAACATTTTTTCACAACGTTTTTCGCTAGCAAAATTTCATGATTTTTCACGGGCTTCAATTTTTGTTGCGCTGCGATCTGTATACTAGGCTTGAGTGGGTAAAAATATACCCATTATTCAAGCATGGACTGATTCTTTAAATGAGTATTTTTTACCCATTTTAAGATTTCAAAATTTCCCCATTTTTCGACAGCTGCATACATGGTTTGAAAATGGGTATTTTTTACCCATTAATGGGTTTTCACGAAACACCGTGTTGGGAATGGCTAGTTGACAAATGAAAGTCGATCGGGTTCATGTCGATGTTGTCCATTTGTCAACTTGTTACTCCCAACTAGAAATACTCAGAGGGAGAGATAGGCGGAGAAAACAAAATACAATTCGGCAGCAGGGATTTTTATCTAAATTATCTTGCAACCCTTGCTAAAACCACAAACGAAGTGACAGACGACTAACTGGCGAAGAAATCCATTTAAATAATGTGGTTCACTGTAATAGAATTTTCTTGGAAGCTTGTGCCATCATCCACCAGATGGGTTAGTTTTTTGTTTTGATTTGAACAAAGTTGATTTTGTGTACAATGATTCTTTGACAGAGTGCAAAGAGTGCGTATCATTTTGTCATTTTTTTATGGATTTCAGTTTTGAGTAGAGTGAAAGAGATAAAACCAAAACATTCTAGTACATTTGGTGAAAATGCTAGTTCAATCTAGTAGAAGTGTTGCCATGTGGTACAATCCAGTAGTAGTGGTGTTGCCATATGGTACACTGAAAAATTGCAATAGCAGGTTAGTCACCAAAGTTTTCGAGCCGCTCCGTCTGTCTCTTCGTTTGTGGCTAAAACTTAGCATTTCTCATGACTTTAACTTTTGATTCGATTTACGTGTAAATTAATAATTGATTGCATCGCAATATTTTGCACATTTGTTGGTGCCATTAACTAACCAACTAAGATCAATTAATCAATAGAGCTAGAATATTGCTTTTGATTCCAAAAACTAGTTAAATTTGAGAAGCACACGAAACATAAAGGTGATTGAATTTCTGTTCGAATGCAATACTCTCAAATTTAATCTAGTAAGAATAAGAAATCCTCGGAAAAAATCTAATGGGAATGTTCGTTTGGCTCAGATTTTGACAGTTCATTTGGCTCAAAACATTCTCTCCGCTCATTCTCTTCTTCTAGTATTTCTACTCCCAACATTGTTTACCCATTTTTGGGAACACTGATAAATTAAACTATTCGCATTTTGCTTGAAATTTAATCAATTTGACATTAAACTCCGTTTTATCATATCGAAAGATTAAAAATTAATACTCTCTTTAAAAACTAAGCATCTGACATTAATCCCAGTTTAATCATGGTTGTTTAGATTGAAGATTATCTCTTTTTAATAAATTTTAATCATATTTGATTCTATTTTAATAACTTTTAATTGAATTTTAATATTTTTTTAATTTTATATCAGTATTGAAAAAGAATAATATATAATACTGCAAAGATTATTTCGTTTTAATCATGCATGACTTTCATATTTACTAACCTAGTTTTAAGACGATTGTTTGTAGATCGCAAGAACCAATAGTTGTTCTACCTATACATATATATATATATCCTTTTCTCTCATTTTGTTTGCTCACAAATTTTGTCAACTGATTGTAGGTAAAATCCAAGAAAAAGAAACATACATTAGCACATAGTTTTACACAAACTGAATTAGCTATCGTGGATTGGTATTTTGAATCTTAGACTATAAAAATCATTGAATTGTGCAAAAAAAAAAAAAAAAAAAAATAGAGCTAGAATATTGCTTTTGATTCCAAAAACTAGTTAAATTTGAGAAGCACACGAAACATAAAGGTGATTGAATTTCTGTTCGAATGCAATACTCTCAAATTTAATCTAGTAAGAATAAGAAATCCTCGGAAAAAAATCTAATGGGAATGTTCGTTTGGCTCAGATTTTGACAGTTCATTTGGCTCAAAACATTCTCTCCGCTCATCTCTCCTTCTAGTATTTCTACTCCCAACATTGTTTACCCATTTTTGGGAACACTGATAAATTAAACTATTCGCATTTTGCTTGAAATTTAATCAATTTGACATTAAACTCCGTTTTATCATATCGAAAGATTAAAAATTAATACTCTCTTTAAAAAAAACTAAGCATCTGACATTAATCCCAGTTTAATCATGGTTGTTTAGATTGAAGATTATCTCTTTTTAATAAATTTTAATCATATTTGATTCTATTTTAATAACTTTTAATTGAATTTTAATATTTTTTTAATTTTATATCAGTATTGAAAAAGAATAATATTTAATACTGCAAAGATTATTTCGTTTTAATCATGCATGACTACACAGCAAAAAAAGTTGTTGAATATTACATCGAAACTGCTGCAACCAGGTCAATCCATCGGTTGTGTAATATCACATTGTACAATGTACATCGATTTTGCGAACAAAATTACATCCATTGATGTAATATTGTATCTGCGTTTTGCTATTACATCATTATTTCATACATCAGCTTGAATTACGTTGATCGATTTTACATTTTTTTTTGCTGTGTACTGCCGAAGTAATAATGGCTCGGATTCAATAGGGCTTTTTGACGTTTAATCGGCGCACACTACTGCACCATTTCAATCGAACGAGTGCGAGCAAGAGGGAAACAAATTAGTGGGAAAACAAACCGTGCATTCATCCATGTGTGCTAGATAGAGAAATACGATTAAACGTCAAAAAGGTCTATAAGGTGAAGCGGGAATCTGTATACTTTTTAAGCTTTTTTGATTTAATTTATCTTTGAGTGTAGGTTCAGTTTTGATCGATCTGTGTGGATTTTACCCAATTTTGGGAAGTTTTTAAATAGCGTGCGCCAGCATGCCGTTTATGTTTCTAGACCAACAATTGAAATAAGCGAAACAAGCAAACGTAAACAATGGCTTTAAACGCAAATTTCTCGAGAGTCAGAATACACCCACGCAAACTAACAATGTCATTCGATAAAAGAAGTTTGCTCTTTTAGATGCTGGTGTTAGATTGCGATTGATTTTCGAGAAATTTGTATTTGAAGTCGTTGTTTACGTTTGGTTATTCCGCTTATTTCAATTGTTGGTCTAGATTTATGCTGAAAACTGGCATCATTGCGCAAACGATAACAAAACGACGTTGACCGTCCATAAACAGAGCAAACAGTTCTGGAGAAATGCTATGGCGGTTATGTTATGCCGTAATAAAATAAATAATGTTTGTTTTGCTTCCTATTCGTCACTCGCTTGTGAATAATAATAAAACAGTTATCAAGTGAAATCTCGTTACCCTACAGAGTGAGGTTTGGTACCGTATACCGTACGTTTAATGGTGGTTTAGAATCTAAAAAAAATACTACGTAATTTATGATGACCCCGTCTCCAAGCTCACGGTAACGTCGCCAAGTAACGAGCGGTTTTCATGTGAAGATTTTTTTGGCCATTCGGCATTTCCCGAATTTGCGCAATAATTTGTGATGTTGGGACTGTTGAATTGTTGTTTTTCAATTATATTGTGAAATTTCTTAGTTCAAGCTGCCAAGCAATCGTTATAGATTATGGATTACAGGTAAGAACAGGATTTGCGGATGTTTACACTATCCACCATAAATTCCAAAACAATGACCTTTTTTGTTTTCACAAAAATACAGGGAAACTACGCGTTGGTATTTGAGACGGTTGCATCAGACCGACTACCTTATTGTTAACATAGGAGAGGAAACCGATATCAGCCGATCGGTTCGTTCGGTTATTGAGTTGAATAAGGTGGGTGGAATTCATTGGCCTTGAGTTAAACGGCCTCGTAAAATGGTATCTTTTATTAACAGATACACTTCCAACATATTTCCAAGAGGCATTGTATTATCAGCTGCCAAAACGGGGTGGCCACTTTGACGGACGAAACGGTGAGTTGAGTGTGCATAAATAGATTCATGTGGAATATATGTAATTGTATTTTGGCAGTCCACGACGGGAACGTACGTAAACGATCGCAAGTTCAGTCGTGAACATCCTGGGTCAATCATCCTAAAGGAAGGCGATCTCATTGGTATCGGCACTCCTTGTCAGCAAGATGAATCGTTCTACAGGACGAACAGCCATGTGCTGTTGTTTCAGGTCTGCAAGGATCGAAATCGGATCGTTCGACAGGGTGACGTTGATATGATTCTGGGCAGTGATGAGGAACCAGAAGACGTCAAGGTGTTCGCTTTGCAGCAAGTGCCACAGCAGAAGGAAATTGCGGGTCCGGCAAATCCCGCGAAAAGGGATGAGCGTTTGTATCGGATTGTGGAGAGGATTGATTTGTCGTCGGATGACGAGGCTGTGCAGTATCTGGAAACGTCAGAAAGAGTAACTCGGTTGGACGAAAGTATTCTCAAGGAAACAGAAATAAAGTCTAAGGAGCTTGAAGAACAAAAGCGTCAGAAGGAAGAAGAAAAGAATCGCCAAAAAGAAGTTCAGGCCGACAAAGAAAATAGACAACAGGAAGAGGATAATGTCGAGATTTCTAAAGCGAAAAAAGCGTCGAAGGAGGAAAGAGCGAAATCAAATGCCGTTGACGATAAAAATAGAGACGATAGGCAGGAGAGGAAGTCATCCAAAGATAAAGACGAAAGGAGACATCGAGAGCATGAAAAAACCCCTAGATCTCACGATGATAAAAAGAAAGGTCGTCACGAGCAAGCATCCAGTTCTAGTCGAAGGCATGAGGACCACAAATCGCATCATAAACATAGAGATGAGAAGCGCGAACGCAGTGGAAGTAGTTCTAGTAAAGGCCAACCCGAAAGCCACTGGGATAAGAGTAATGGTCTCCACCGAGATCGACAAAAGTCTCCCGATAAAACCCCCGTTGGAGATATAAAGCTAATTGACGACTATTGTGATAACAATAACAAGGCAACGGATCAAGTTATAGATTTAGATGAGATCGATGAGCGTTTTCAAGATTCATACGCATGTCTGAGTCCAGAACGTCCAGCAGCGCAAAGTAGTGCATCAGCAATATCGTTGGACGACAGTGATGAAGCTGAAGATGAGGAAGATTTCAGCGAACTGAGATTAACGCAATCTTTCTATCGGCGAATAAAGAAAGAAGCACAGGAGGTAGACACACAGGAGGAAGATGATCCAGAACCGGAGCAGCCGATTGAAAGGCAAATTAAAGTGGAAAATGATTCACCAAGAATGTCACCTTTACTACTGGACGACACGCCAATTTACATCACTGACGATGACGAGGACGACGATTATCTTGAAGATTCGAAACGGTGGTTTCAGCGTTTGTCCCAAAGAAATTCGCCCCTTAAAAGTAAAGCGAGAACATTGGAAGATGCTGATCGATTTATTTCGGCACTACCCAGTGTAAAACCAATTGAAATTGACGAGTATTGCTCTAGAGATCAAGACATCCCTGACGATATCCTTGATATAGTGCTGGAAGAACCAGAGGCAACAACATCGCTTGGTAGCCCTGAACGGAAACAATCGTCCTCTTCGACTACTGATAAATTGAATCTTCCAGGAATTGAAAAAGTACCATCTCCCGAAATTAGCTACACTAAAACTAGACAAGAGGAACGCGATGAATTTCTGGATAATTTTTATGAAGAGTTAACGCAGGAAGAGAAGCAGAAACAGCCTGATGCGTCGTATGTTTCACCTAATCTGAAAAGCCAAACATCTTTGGATCCCCCTGGATCCGTTCCATCAATGACAGTTCCTAGTGGTTCCAAAACGACCCTTAAATCACCAGATGCTGGACGCACACCGGTGAAAGAAAAGAATTCCAACAGTGCCTCTAATGCCTGGATTAGCAAGAAAATTCCTGTTATTGAGCCGCATCATATAGTGAAACGAAGAATGAGCGTCAGTGCAGGTAAGTTCATAGGACGTGCTGAAATGCGTCTACAGATTTACCATACATCCATTTCTCGTTTCAGCGTCTTTAAACAAAAAACCACCAAAGCTCGCCAAGCACTCTCCCGTTCGACAGGCGCCGCCGGACCTCACTAAAGAGGCTCGTAAGCAAAAGCTGAAAGAGATAACTGCGAAGAAAAATCAATCCAACGATGGTGATTCGAAAAATTCTAAAGCCTTAACAAAACCAAAGGTCAAATTTACCCCCAGCAATCGTGGAGCTTTCCTTACCGAGCAAGTTCCCGGACCGAGCAAGCCACCGATTCGCCAGCAATCGAGTTCTCTTGGCAATGCTATCGATGATGATTTCATTTGCACACAGTCCACCTCCTTGACAAACGTTCCATCGATAGACAATATGATCGATATTGAAGTCAGGAAAGCCCCTAAGCTGACATTCAATAGTGTCGCCAAAGTTAGTCGCGTTGCCCAAAATGCACCGGCTTTCAAAATTCCCCTACGCAAAACATCGGTCACACAGAAGCCATCATCTACCACTACACACGGAGACTCGATTCTGTCCATTTTAGATAACATCCACCTGCCTCCTACTTCGAATCCCGTGGCGAAACTACTGCCCCTCAACAACAATCATAAGCCAGAACCTCTTCCTGCTGCAGTATTCTCACCCATCCGGCAGGGCCCTTCGCGAATGAAATCGATTCTGAGATCTCCGCTCGGACTGACCCGCAAGATGACCCAGAATCGTGTCAAATGGAAAGAATCGCTGACCGAAACACGCACATTCGAAATCGACGACGGAAACTACATGACCGTGCAAACTAGAATGTACAAGGACAATAATGATTTTTTCCGAGATATGTCGCAAGAAAGCTGCCAGAATGACATCATCCAGAATATAACCAGCTGGAATGCGGATTGGTTTGATAATCCGATGGATGCGAAAATTAGCGGGGAGAAACTGTTACCGATGGTCGAAGAGTATGCCGATTTTGAGGCCTACAAGCAAATTGTGCTGCCTATATTGAAGACGGAACTGTTCCATGACATTCTGGGCCAGTATGTGGAGGTGAAGAAACGTGCCCAGCAACCGATCCAGATGAAGGTGAATCAGATCCGCTCGCAGGGACGGACGTTTGTTCTCAATTGTAGTGGTAAGTAAACTTTTCTACCATCCGTACAGTTGTCTTCTCTTCCTCTTAGGACTAGCCTATTGGTCCCAAGCAAATCGATTAACGTCCCCATTCTAGGTGAAATTCTAGTACTACAATATATTTGTTTTTATTTGCTATGCAAGTTTGACAGATCAAATGAGGGGTTCGTGGATTTTCCTATAGAGTTCTCCAAGCAGAATCTCACGAACACTACACTAATAACATAATTTTACACACACTAGCGTATACTGTCATGTGCACGGTAAGTATCAAACATCCATTTATGAGTAAAAGTTAACCCATTGTCAATAAAAGCGGCACCACTAATTAATGAGTAATTCATTATGCCAATTAGGTAGTAACTGTTAGCTAATGTTAGCAGAAACTCATTTTGTTAAAATAATTTACTTATTAACGAGTAAAGCCACCTTTATCAAAAATGGGTTAACCTTTACTTACAAAAGGGTACTTCACTGTTACCGTGCAAGCGTAGGGTTTGTTTTCGTTTTGTTGTTTATTTTTACTTTAGAATGACAGTTCTTACAGCAAACAAAAAATTTCTCACAGCTAACAAAAAATTTCATCTCACTAACACACGCAAATCGCACCAATACGAACCGGCCTGGAGAGGACTATTAGCGAATTCGTTTATTATCGGGGTTGGAACCAGTTCCAACCCAGTGCGAAACCGAACTTTTTGTCAGTGCGAACCTCAACCTGAGCTAGGTTTTAAAAACAAACGAACAAACTGACGTTTGTCAGAAAACAAGCAGGCCCAATCTTGATACCCGATCCAGGTTGGAACTGAATAATAAACGAATTCGCTGTATGTTTCGAGGGGTGCATCGATTAGCTTGGGACCGAAGAGAGTACCAGAGCTGAGCCATAGAGTTACCTCTATGGTACTACCTATGTCGAAACGGATGTCCCTCCAACCATCTTCAAGAGTAGCTGTGTCAAGCTGCTCTTCCGTGGGTAGTGCAGCTTCCAACTGCTGCGCGTAATCCTGGGCAACTCTGGCGTACCGTAATTAAGGTGGGGTCGCGGCGTTCGACTTCGACGGGTGTTATGCACCGTCGAGAGTTTTGAGCGCATGCATACTGCAATCTATGGTCCGAATCTATGTTCGCACTACGGTACGTGCGGACGTTGATAATGTCGGAGAAGAATTTCCCGTCGATTAGAACGGGATTCATTTGTTTTTCTGCGTGTTGGTCAGGTGGTCTCCAGGTTGCTTTGTGGATATCCTCCCGTCTCCCGTGCCTCCCGTCCTACCTGAGCGTTCATGTCGCCGATGACGATTTTGACATCCCGTTGTGAACAGCCGTCGTACACCTGCTCTCAGCTTGCACATCCTCGCGTTGATCGGCTGCCAACGTGTTGGCGCATCTTACCCGCTCCTTCCAGGCTGTCAACTCACCATATTGTGATTCTCCATCAACAATAATAAGTTTAGCAAGATATACATATGCTTACCTTCATTTTATCCTTCCACCAATGTACAATTGGGTTGTTTTTCGTCTATAATTAATCAATTAATTTGAAAGTTCAATAAACTTAACGATTATGACAAAATTTTCCCATCTAATTTCAGTGGAAAGTAACCAAAAACAGACCATCAACAACAAAGACTATGTGCTTATCCTATTCAGAGACAAAGGCAATGGGAACGACGTGCGTTTCCCTGCGGTCGTGACTGGACGTCGTCAGCAAATTCAATACTCGGAAGAAAACGGCATCAAGTTCTTCCATTGTACAATTGAAACCGCCAAGACTCCCATAGCTCAACGGATGCGGGATGGTCATGGGGAGAACTATCGAATCCTTTCGCTGACACAGATTAATCTGCACATGCGGCAGTTCCACGTTCTGTTCAACCTTCAGGATTCTCCCCTGTTGGAAAACATACTCTCGCCGAGGAGTAACTTCTACAGCGTTGGTGGACAGATTGATCGACATTCCTACAAAGGAAAGGTAAGTATTGATTGGCAGCGACGGTTTCCACGCGAGTATCAACTAACGACAGATCATATCCGAAAGGAAGCGCTCAACGTCCAACAGGGTGACATTTTGCTGAGTGTGTTTGGACAGTGTTTGGACATTTCCAGGCCGCACATTATGTTGATCCAAGGACCACCTGGTACAGGTAAATCCAGACTGATCAGTAACTTGGTGCTGCAGCTGCGCAGGGGAATTCCAGAGCGTCGATTGAAAATACTGGTCTGTGCTCAATCAAACACCGCCGTTGATGTAATCGTGCTAAAATTGATGAAGTTGTTAAGGTTATTGAGTAAGTCGTTGACTAGCACTGGTAAATAGTGAACATGTCAGGTTCAAAATGTCGTTTTGCAGATAAGGACGAACGGTGTAATATGCTGAGGACTGGCGCATCGACCAAGGTGAATCCAGAATGTAGGATAGTGTTCCTTGATGATTTGGCACGGAAGCACGTCAACGAACAGATCAAGTGTAGGAAGCTGAGAGATGAAGATCCCATGTTCGAAACATACTACTTACAGGTAAGTCGTATCTTAGTTTTGCTGGAGAAATTCTCATCAACTTGATTTCGCAGAAAGAAACGCTGGACAAGAGGATTAAGTACCTTCGCAGTACAATCCCTTACGGCGGCGGTAGTCTGTTGCAAAGTTCCCGCTTGCAGGATGAAATTGATCAGCTGCAGAGTCAGTTTGATAAAATCAAAGGCCTGCTGCCGGGAAACGTTGACGAAATTGACCTTCATGACAAAGACCGTCGAAACATGGAAATGCATGCCAAAAAGCAGTTTGTTGCTAAAGCAGACGTAATCTGTACTACGCTTGGCAGTTGCGGAGGCCTAACAGATTACATACAATCGCTGAAATTCGATGTCTGTATCATCGACGAGGCAACACAGTGCACAGAAATAGCTTCCTTCACCCCTCTGCAGTTTGACGTGAAGAAATTGATCCTGGTAGGAGACGTCAAACAGCTACCGCCCCTAGTGTTTGGTAAGGAATGTGCCGAAGCGGGTCTAAAAAATTCTCTATTTTCGAGAATTCAAAACTCCTTCATCGGCACAAGCCTGGAAGGTGTAAAAATGCTAACCACACAGTATCGAATGCACCCGGAAATTCTCAAATGGCCAAACGAATTCTTCTACGATGGCAAGCTAACGAGCGATCCGAGAGCGACCAAGTGCGATGGGTTCCCCTTTAAGCCTTACACCGTCTTCAGTTTGGAGTGTCAGCAAAACCAAACACAAATGGAACATCAAATCTACAACAATGAAGAAATTCATTTTGTGCTTAAGTTACTGACGGAAATCATGCAGTATTGCGATAGACACACATCTATCGCAATCATTACGCCGTACACTCGCCATAAACGTGAGTGTGAGAAGTTCCTGCACGCGAAGAGTATAACGCAGGTGTCGGTGCTGTCGATCGATTCAGTACAAGGGCAGGAGTATGATGTGGTGATCATCTCCCTGGCACGAACGATCGGCACTGGATTTCTCGGCAATCCTCAACGGCTCAATGTGGCGTTAACGCGTGCGAGGAAGTGCCTGGTGATGTGCGGAAACTTTTATGATTTGAGGGTAACTATCATAGACCGTAGACATGTAATACGTAGACGTTAAGTATTATTTTCTTCGCCAGGATGCGAACGTGTGGTCGGAGTTGCTGAAGGATGCCGAAGAGCGACAATTGCTCTATCACATCGAAGATGACGATGAGTATGACGATGCGGATACCTTTGTGGAAAAAGTGATGCGGCATCTGCGGAAGAATCCGACAGCTGATGCCATTGTTTAGGGTAAAATTACCACAGCTGAAGACTGAATAAGCTATGCCTTAAAAGTGTCGAATTCCAAAGGATACCAACGAAATCAATAGTTTGTATGGC